CCACCATGACTCAATCGTCCAACATAATCCAATGGAATTGTAGAGGATTTAGGAATAACTTTAACGATTTACAGTTTTTAACACAGGATTTTACACCATCAGCAATGTGTTTACAAGAAACATATCTTCGAGACACAGACAAATGTGATATCAGAAAATACAATTTGTATAATCACGTTTCCCCTCCAGGTGCAAAAGTCACTGAAGGTTCCTCTATCTTGGTAAGACAGGATGTCATACATAGTGTTGTTCCACTTACTACCAACCTTCAGGCTGTTGCAGTTCGGCTAACATTTCACATTGCCTTAACACTCTGCTCTTTGTATATCCCACCCTCTTCGACTTTACAGCAGGCAGATCTACAAGCTTTATATGATCAGCTCCCCAAACCCTGTGTCATCATGGGTAATTTAAACGGGCATAACCCTCTATGGGGAAGTACGAATATATATAATAAAGGTAAAGTTATTGAAGATTTTGTTTCTGATAATAGTTTGTGTATTTGTAAAGATGATTCAAGCACCTATTTACATCCTGCTACAGGAACGTATTCCACTCTTGATCTGTCCCTCGCTGATTCAACTGTCTACAACGAATTTGAATGGTCCGGTCATGATGACCTTTGTGGGAGTGATCACTTACCAACTGTCTTAAAAACTATAAAACCGGATGATGAACCATCTTTATCACGATGGAATTTTACGAAGGCAAATTGGTCTTTGTATGAAACATTGTGTATGGATTAATTAATACCGGACAATTTTTAAAATGTACCAGATCCTATAGAGCTGTTTTCAGCTCTGTTGAATGAAATTGCTGACCAGTCAATTCCTAAATCCTCTGCAGCTCCTCATATTCGTAATCCATGGTTTAACAATGAATGTAAACAAGCAAGGAAGTGTAGGAAGAAAGCAGAAAAGTACTTCCGCAGACATCCTACAGTTCATAACTTAAATAATGTTAAAATTACAAATGCCAAGGCACGACGTGCTTATAAACAAAACAAGCGCCAGTCTTGGAGGAAATATGTCTCCAACATTAATTCCGCACACCCATGTCTAAGGTGTGGAATATGATTCAGAGAATAAAAGGAAAAGGTTGTAAATCTTCTGTTCATCATCTTAAAGATGGTGACATGTTGATAACTGGTAAGTGTGATATTGCCAATAAACTTGATGAGACTCTTTCCAGAAATTCTTCATCATCAAATTATCTCCCTGAATTTCAGAACTATAAAATTCGACAAGAAAAGCAAAAACTTAATTTTGATTCTAATAACGGTGAGATTATAATGAAGTTTTTTCATTACATGAGCTACATACTTCTCTCGAGCAAGCTCATGATACTACAGCGGGTGATGACAACCTTCATTACCAGTTACTGAAGCATCTGCCTCAATCATGTCTGATGACACTTTTAGAAATATTTGACCATATTTGAATTTCAGGGAATTTTCCTCCTTCATGGCACAATGACATTGTTATCCCCATACCAAAGCCTGGCCGGGATCACACAGACCCCTCAAATTATCGCCCTATAACGTTAACCAGTTGCGTTTGTAAAACCATGGAACGCATTATGAACAATAGATTAGTTTGGTATTTCGAAACCAACAATCTAATTTCAGATATTCTGTGTGGTTTCCGGAAAAACCGAAGTACTATTGATCATTTAGTACGATTAGAATCCTATGTTAAGAATGCTATTGTATATATACAACACGTAGTATCAATTTTTTCGATCTTGAGAAAGCATATGATACTACTTGGAAGTATGGCATTTTGAAGGATTTACATGATTTCGGTTTGAGAGGTCGTTTACCTCGTTTTATCTCACATTTTTTAACAAACAGGCAATTTCAAGTCCGAGTGGGTTCACCCTGTCTGACCATTACAATCAGGATCAGAGTGTCCCACAAGGCAGTATTTTGTCTGTAACATTATTTAGTATTAAAATAAACAACCTGTCAATGGTTTTAAGTGATTCAGGTGATGGATCACTTTTCGTGGATGATTTTAATGTTTCTTGTCTTGGTAAAAATATGCATACAATAGAGAGGCAACTACAACTCCAAAACAAATTGTATACATTTTTGTAGAAAATATAAACCGCATGAAGACCCAGAACTATGTTTCAATGGCACACCCATCAAGGTTGTAAAAGGGCCAAGTTCTTGGGACTTATTTTTTACTCTCATCTAACCACATATTAAACATTTAAAAACTAAATGCCTGAAGGCACTCGACTTGTTGAAAGTTGTGTCAAATTCAAAGTTGGGAGGGGATCAAGCTACCCTCTTACATCTATATTGATCATTGGTCCGTTCCAAACTTGATTATGGATCCATCGTGTATGGTGGAGCCTGTAAAAGCAACCTTAAAATTCTTGATTCCGCCCACCATCAAGGTCTAAGACTTTGTCGTGGATCCTTTAGAACTTCTCCAGTTGTTAGTCTCTACGTTTAGGCAGATGAGCCATCTCTTGCACAACGCGGTATAAAACTACATGTATCTTTACAATATATTACAAAACTGTACTCTAACAAATCTAACCCTGCATATAACTGTGTCTTCACTCCCCTCTATGAGGATTTATACAACAAGAAATCTTCCCTTGTTCCGCCTCTTGGGCTCAGAATTAAACCATTCATTTCTGCTGCCGGCATTGTTCTTGAAAATATATCTCTTTCCCGTCTTCTTTCTTCTCCTCCTTGGCAACTGGTGAGGCCTGAAGTTGACCTAACTCTGACAAAGTTTAAGAAATCTGAAACTAATGAATTACAATATGAACAAGAATATAATCGATGAACATAGAGATTTTTCTGGGTTACATCTTCTTTATTCTCGAGTACAACGCTCAGGGCTTGTTCTGGCCCCATCACTGTTCAGTTTACCTGATGATGGGGCCAGAACAAGTCCCTGAAACGTTGCACTGTTCAGTTTACCTGATGATGGGGCCAGAACAAGCCCTGAAACGTTGTACTCGAGAATAAAAAGAAGATGTAACCCAGAAAAATCTCTATGTTCATCAAATATCATCTTCTAAAATGCCAATCAAGCATCTAAGAATATAATCAATTAAAAGCTAAATATGATACATACAAATCTTTATTTACAGATTAGTCCAAGGATGGTGGTGCGGTGGCATGTGCCACAGTCATTGGATCCAGAACAATATCTTCTAGAATACCGGATAACAGCACTATTTTTACAGCAGAAGCAAACGCCATATTAACGGCTCTTAAATATATTGAAAGACACACTAAACATAAACAATACATAATATTTTCCGATTCTCTTTCGTGCCTTCAGGCTATTAAAAATCTTTCTTGCAAACATCCACTTTTAATCGAAATTATTGAATTGTATAATGATCTTGCTACTGGCCAATGCGACATCGTCTTTGTTGGTTACCCAGTGATGAGAGGACCACGGTCAAGCATGTCCTGCTTGACTGTGTTGCATTCTCCATCATAAGGGATAAATATTTCAATATCAAAACAGTTAAGGACCTTTTTAATAAAGTTAATTATCATTTAATCATTGATTTTTTAAAAGAGACAGACTTGTTAAATGAATTTTGATATATGTTTTGTAAATAGATAAGGTTTTATAATTAGTAGTTCAGATTTTCAACTTAGATTGTTAGTGGCTGTATCCTCAAAGGGGGTTGAAGTAGCGTAAACTTATTGTCCTCCTAAGAGGGTACGTAAGTCCCAAAACTTTCAAAGTAAAATATAAATTATCACATTATAAGCGTAGTATTTGTGTTATTTTAACTGTTGGCTACATTTTCCTAAAATCGCCAGGGGCTGAAGGGGCGGTGTAAATCCAGCTAGGATCCATGCAGGTAGCAAAAGTAACGTAAGTCCCCATGGTTCCTAGTATGGTGATCTACCTTCAGTTGTTGGCGATCTATGGCCAGTGTTTTATACTGTATTGTCTTCTTTAATTGGAATTTTTTAGCTTTTCTCGCTAATTTTATATTCATATCTGTGATTCTCTAGTATTTTTACTGTCCATCGTCGGCAGGTTTTAATCTGGATTGTCTGGATTGTTCTCGTCACGATATGGCTGAGATATTGCCGATGTGACGTTAAATATTAACTCACTCACTCACTCCACTGCCGTGTGACGAGGGGCAAGGGATTTATCCTATCGCTTAGAAATTTATATCCCTCTTTAGTTGTATGCATAGTATTAAAACGTGTCAACCAATCAGATTTGACATGGAAGCAAGATAATTAATGATGTTTTGTTCTTGGCATCATCGTTCATAATCCGATGTAATAAAGTTCAGAATCTTTCAAAAAACAAAGTTCTAAGTTTTATCGGTGGACCAAGTCAAGTCAAGTCAAGTCAAGTTTATTGTATTCAAGGCCTCCGGCCCATATACAAGGAATTACATACATATACATAACAATAATACATAATACAATGACAATTATGAAATTACTTGGATAACCTATCATTTCTCAAGACAACAGCATGCTTTACAAATAGAGAAGGTTACGGATAACAGTTTCATTTCTGGAAGTGAGAACCGAGGCAAAGGCTATTGTTGGGTATTTTGATAGATAATTACTTGACCAAGTAATTACAAAATTCGTGACAGTTGGGGACGTCTGAGGAAAGGTTGTTCCGTGTGTTTAGCAGAAAATACTCTAAAAGGCTCAATATACATATTTTATGCACTAACAGTGCTTCAGGTTGTCATGTAACCATATTGTGGTATACTTTCCTTTTTCTGTTTCAGATTTCCACATTGTGTCCATTCACTGACGTTGTAACAGGATGTTGACTGAGATTATACTGGGGACAGCCTTTGTGCTGTTTATCGCCTATATTTATCAGTGGAAACGGAAGTATAGCAAGATGCCTCCAGGTCCAAAACCACTGCCAGTTCTGGGCAATTTCTTAGAAATAAAGGAAGCTACAATGATACACGATCTGACTCGATTGGGTTCCCAATACGACGGCATATTTACGGTCTATTTCCTAATGACGCCGGCACTTATTCTGGACCAGTTCCACATCATAAGGGACCTCTTTCTATCTCCTGCATATGCTGACATCTTCAGTGGACGGGTTAGCACCTATTTTAGCAAGCATTTACTGCCGCATGATATGATTTTCCAGACGGCCAGTGACGCACAGCGATACCTTAGAAAACTGACCTTTCGAGGAATAAAACAATATGGAACTGCACTGAAAAATGTTGAGCATCTTGCCCATGCAGAAATACAAGAAATGATCAACAGGTGCAGAGAACGAAATGGAGTCTCTTTTGACCCGTGGAATGATCTGAATCAATATGTCAGCAACATGATCTTGCTTTTGGTAAGTTGTTGACATAATCTGAAGAATAGCCATTGGATTCGCTACGAAATTTTTACACAAATACCTAAAGCATTCAACTAGAATATGCATATTTCTTTTCAGGTTTCTGGACAAAGATTTCAGCCAGGGCATAAGGCACTGGAGATTTGTCAGACCGCTGCCGCTGATTTTGAGTACCTCTTCAACTACAAAAACCAGATTCTTATGGACAATGTGCCGTTTAGTACGAAGTTGATGCCAAACCTGAGACGAGCTTGTCAAAACATGAAGGGCGGATACAACTATTTTACGGAGATAATTGAAAAAACTTCACAGGTGAGTTACACAAACCGATTCCATAATTGTTCAATAAATATCAAGTGGAAGGCGCCTGAATGAATCTATGGACCCATATAAAATATGGGATGGATGATACAACAGAAATTCATCTAATATTGTAGTATATAGGGGATCGCATGCAGCGATTTTCATAATTTCAAAATGCTGAGTTTTGTTTGGTAGGAATCCAAAGGTACAATGCCCGACTGTCTCTACACATTGCTATTGAAAGAACGTGAGGAGGGAAGGATATCAAAGGAAAATGTAAAAGGAGTTCTGATGGATGCCCTTCTCGGAGGTAATACTGGACAACTATTTCCAAAATTCTACGTGTGCTATTTCCCCTAATGAAAAGCAGATGATAATTCTCTTGGCATTAAGATATTCACAGGCCCCAGGTCCAAACTACTATTTCTGTTATGTGGATAGGTATTTTCACAACAAAACCAACCATGTACACTGCCCTAGCTGCAATGGTAAACTTCTCTGAGGTCCAAAAGAAGATCCAGCAGGAGATCCAGAGGGTGGTGGGGAAAGACCGACTTCCGGGTTTGGAGGACCGAAACAAAATGCCCTACACTAGGGCTGTGGAACTAGAATCACATCGTTACTACACTCCTGCCAGTTTGCCAGGTCCAAGGAACACTACACAAGACTGCACTTATAATGGTTACAGAATCCCAAAGGGCACACTGGTAGGTTTCTATAAAGAGGATTGGTCGGTTGGTTGGCTGTAGTTGTCTAACGCCGCACTCAGCAATATTCCAGTTATATAGATCTATATAGCGGCGGTCTGTAAATGATCGAGTCTAGACCAGACAAACCAGTGATCAACAGCATAATCAACAATTATGAAATTTGGATGACATGTGTCAACCAAGTCAGTGGCCACCCGATCCCGTTAGTCGCCTCTTGCGACAGGCATGGGTTACTGAAGACCAATTCTAACTTGTGTCTTCACGGGTACTGTAATGATGAAAGGACACATATCGCAAAGTACTTTCCTGAATGACTACATTTGTCCAATTACATATTACCGCCTAATCTTCCAAAATCATTACATCACGCAATGAAAAACAGTTTCAGTTACTGCCCGTTGTTCGTGCGAGATTTTCCCCCGCCATGATATTGCTTGAATATTGCTTGAGATTGATAAAGGTGATGAGATTACCCTAGAGTATTGCAGTACAAGTTTATTCTTTGATATTAGGGCACATTACATTGCAAACCAAACTGATCTGAATCTCTCTTTATGAAGGTTATTTACAACGTGTGGCGTGTACACCACGACGAATCATTTTGGGAGAATCCCTTCACGTTTGACCCAACCAGATTCTTGGATGAACATGGCGAACTGCTTCCACCGGAGGATGAGAAGCGTCAGAGGTAAACATGCATACGACAAGAAATAGTTTGATTTCAGTTAAATCATACAGGTGGGGGAATGAAAGCTTAGACAGACTGGTCTTGCCAAACATTTGCCAAACTGATGAAAAGGCTGATTTTCAAGCAAAGATCGTTAAAACCAAAATCATATACGGAGATGTATTTAAATGAACGAAAATGATTTTAAGTGTTTCATTGCAGATTGCTGACGTTTGGTATCGGAAAGCGTTCTTGTATTGGTGAGAAGCTGGCCCGAGTCAGGATATTTCTTGGACTGACGTCGATCCTGCAAAACTTCGATCTGACTCATGATCCATCTGAGCCTTTCCCTTCATCCGACCCCCGCACATACGAAACTAAATTTCTCTTACAACCACCTCCATACAAGTTGCAGTTCAAACCGAGACATTGAGAGCCGCAATGTCCGACACACATAAGCTTTGAGATTTGTCGTAAGTGGTAGACAAGTGTTCTGTCGTGTAGCCACCCATTGTCCTAGATGATTAAGCAGCGTAGCTGTATACCTTTATCAAAATACAAAGCGCGAATTGTAACACATCTTAACCTAAACCTGTAATCACTGATATTGATAAGAAAATAATAATAACCGTCCACTTTTATAGCGCTATTCCATTATGTGCTATTATTATTAACCCGGATAGTCCAAGCTGCCTGTGAGCCGCTGGAAGGTTGGTAGTCACATGGCTTATCCCACCGGGTTCCCATTTTCTGTTGGGTGAACAGAGGCATTGTTGAACAAACTCACTTGCCTAAGGTGAGACCACATGCATCACTTTGTTGTTGGGCAGGACTGACGTACTAGAAACCCTCAGGAGTCAAGCTACCAAACACGGTCACCCATCCAAAGACTCTCCGCGCTCAACGTTGCGTAACATCAACTGATTGTGACCTGTGAACTATGGACAGGAATCTAGTAAATCACAGCTCTACTCTAAGCAGAGTGAGTGAGTGAGTGTGTGTGAGTATGGTTTTAAAGCCGCTTTAAGCAATTTTCCAGCAATATCACGGCGGGGGACACCAGAAATGGGCTTCACACATTGTACTCCTGTAGGGACCTTTCGCGTGACTAGTGAACTCTTAGAGCCCTAGGCTCTAGGGTAAGCAGAATCGACAACAGAATCGACCTTACTTAAAAGTGTTAAAATCAGAACTGAAACAGCACGAGTCTGGAGGTACACTCGTGGCATGTGCAAACTATCAGATGTGTATTCATGTTAACTTTCACTAAATGGAACACCTACTGTATTAACATGCATTATTCATGTATTCCTTACTAATTTTGGAAGAGCATATATTTGACTGACGTAACAAGTTTTCTAGACATGTTATTCATTTCAGTTTGTTTCAAAATGCTTTGAAAATACTATACGGACATATATTATTCATAGATATACATACACAGATAACATATTAGATAACCAAAGCTTCAAGAGACAGTCATGCTGTAGAATCAATTTGATCTGACGAACTCAAAATAGGTTATCAAAATGTGAATTTGTCAAATTGTCAAATTTGGATCTTACAATTGTATAATACGCCATGTCATTGAGAGAGAAAAGAAAAGAAATCAACTAAAATTTACCATAAAAACACCTCAAGTAAGAATAAAGAGCGACAGGATCCTTCCCATCTCTATAGGGAATCTCTGTCCACTGCACGAATCAGACAATATCAAAATCGCGTGTTAATGAACTGTTGTTAGATTTTAAATTATAACACTAGATTAACCAAGAAATCTATATGCAAAGAATTCAGTGTGAAACCAACAAACTAAGAAATGTTAGAAATTAATAAAGTAATCAAACAGAAACACACTGACAAATAATAATGATTTTACAATGACCTTACACAATTGATTGACAGAGCAAAATTCAGTGACAGCACACTTTCAATCCAGTGGTAAAACATGTATAATGTGGTAGTAGCGGCAATAACAAGCCAGTGATGATAACATTCACCTAGCTCCAACTATGGTCAAGCTTTTTAAATAAGCCTATGTTGGATACCCAGGATATGTTTGGTTGGTATTGTAGACCTTGGAGAGTAACAAGAAAGGCAGAATACCTTAATGGATAATGATGTTGTAGAATAATGGCGTTGTTATCCATAAATAATATCCATAATTGAAAGAAGAATTTGTCATTCATGAAAGTGATGTGAGACGAGAGATGCAAGCAGACTCGAGTATTTATAGACCGCCGTCATACAGATGGAATATTGCTGAGTGTGGCGTTACACAACAAACAAACAAAATGTTTCAGTCATCACTTCAGTTTATGTCAAGTGTTCACTTTGAAAAGGGCCAGATATGGTGCACGTCAAACAAGCAACTTGAATCATGTTGGTCAAAAAGACCCCAATTACGGAAATACCTTCCACATGTCTACCATGGAAAGTTTTGAAAGCATTACTAGAGGTCTAGTGTTGTAACATTGATTAAAAACACTTTCGAGATTCATATGACGCTAAAATCTTCGGGAAAAACCTGTTTGGTTGTATACACGTTAAGATTCGGGCTAGAATTGATCTTCAGCAACCCATGCTTGTCGTAGATCAATGCTCATGCTGTTGACCACTGGATTGTCTGGTCCAGACTATTATTTACAGACCGCCGTCATATAGCTGGAATATTGCTGAGTGCGGCGTAAAATTAAATTCACCACAAGGTTGTATATTAAGTCCAATCCTTTTACCTTTTTATCAATGAATTGTCAAATTATATTGTTTTGAAAGAAAAATATGGTGTTCAGTTATTTCCTGATATGCTTGAATATTATTTCTAATGTTTGCTGATGATGTCATTTTAGTATCTGATACTATCTCTGGATTGAACTGAATATTTTAGAAAAAATTGCTGACACTTGGGGATTAAGTGTCAACCTAGATAAAACTAATATTGTTGTATTTAGAAGGGGTGGGCGTTTGGCAAAATGTGAGAAATGGTTCTATAAAAATGAAATGATAACAACTGTTAATACATACAGATATCTTGGTATTATTTTTTCTTCTACCTCTAAAACGACTCTTTGCGCATCTGATCTAGCTTTCCGAGGTAAACGTGCACTGATGGAAATTCTCCATAACTTAAATTACATAATTAATAAATTCAATACTGTTGACCCTACTGTATTTTATTAAAAAAAATTATTCACATGTTCAACCCATCTTATTATACGGTCTCTGAGGTGTGGGGACTTAATAGAAATGTACACATTATCGCATGTAAAAGATTTCTAAATGTTGGTCGACAAACGCCAAATGCTATAGCTTACGTCGAATGTGGCCGATATCCATTATATATCAATGCCTTATGTCGGGCTGTTAAATATTGGCTGAAGTTGATTGGCATGTTGGTTAATTAAGATAATCGTTCATATTCAAACTATGCTTCATCAATACGTATGTTGTTGTTTACTCTTGGATTTGGTTTTGTATGGATTAGCCTATCAGTTGGCAATAATTTAATATTTCTTCGACGCTTTAAAGATGTTGCTATAATAGGTTTTATCAATCTTGGAATAGTGTTTTATAAAATAGCACAAGATATAGATTATATAAGGAGTACAAAAGTCTTTTATCTCCAGAAAAATATTTTACTGCCATCACTGTAGAGAATTATCGAAATTTGTATGCAAGATTAAGATCTGGTTTATTAAGGCTAAAAGTAAATGAAAGCAGATGGTGGAATGTTGATTCTTGTCTACGACTATGTCCACTTTGTGAATTAGACGTGGAAAATGAATATCAATTTCTACTTGCGTGTGAACATTATACTTTGTATTTCCCATTGTATTTTTGTAATAATCCAAATATCTTCAAGTTTAAGATCCTCATGATGACACACAATGATACACTAATGCTCAAAGTATATAAATATAAAGCCTTGAAAGAAGGCAAACATCATTGAATGTGTAACTATTCTAAATAGTATGTATGAATTATGCATTGCAATGAACATGTATACATGGGCAAACGGTCCAAAGGCGTGAATAAACACACTTGACTTCACTTGCCACTCACTCACTGTTTGATTGTACCTCACATGTTAAGAAATGTGGACACATATGTCTGAAGCTGTTGTACGTCACTTATAATCAGCATGAATAAATTGCAATAGTTTCCATATTTTCCTTTTTGTCTTCCCGAATCATGCCTCGATCATCTTGGCGAAAAGCTAACACTATCTGTCATAGGACGCCAGGTTAGATTTTGTGAATTGTGAACTGAGAAAGGGAAAAATGTGTAAACCAAAGCTCGATGCTATTGTTTTAGTTCAAGATGTAAACATGCAGTGCATGTAGTATTTGGAATGAGTATTATGCGTGAGTTTCTTCATGACGTACCTTTGAAAACTAAACACACAGTCACGGGGTGCAAGATGCGTTATGCATGCAGTATTAGGATTGTGGATACGTCATAGGTTTCTTCATGACTTACCTTTGAAAACGGAACACAGTCACAGGGTAGTAGATGCGACGCTGATGTCCAACACCAAGACATTCAAATACATTTTTCAGAATGTGGGGGAATCGAACAAAGCATCCTGACACGTCGTCTGGACGCTACTATTAACAAACAAATAGTGTGACTCTGCTGGATTAGATCCACGTTTGACTGTTGCTAAATTGGGTCAGATTGCCGGGTTCAGTGCCTGTACGACATGAAACCCCGACGGCTGAAAATGTCCTGCAATAGGGTGAATAAGGGTCACTGTGCTGGATGTATTCTACGGTGAGTGTAGGTCGACAGGCCACCAGGCGAGACGGTGCAGTGAATGCAGTCATCTGTGTTGACAAATATACGCTTGGGAATTGCATATGGAAGCCTAGACTTACTCAGAGGCGAAGGTGGCCATATCTGAAACAAACCAATAACAACTGAGAGTTGACCTAAATTCACTATCTTTTTTCTGTGGGTTTGTATACCGCAGTCATTGTTAAATCATGAACATCTTTTTAAAAGAGATAAGATTGCAATTCCTTTGTGTATACATTTGGATTATATTTTCAGTGCCAAGCATATGTGTGTGTGTCTGGTCTTTGCAGTTGTAACGGATTTACATTATTAAACATTAAGTCTCAAATGGTTTTTTGCCCGTGTGAGTTGGCATCGTTTGAAAGACGTGATTGGTTTTATACAAACTGGCAGTTTGAGGATTGTGTCATGCTTTTATCACCAGTATGCCTTCAGTGATTCACTGATTGTATATATCATGTGAACATGGGACTCTCAACGAGACTGGGCGGTGTGTTAGCAGAGTGGTTAAAGCGTTCGCTCGTCAAGCCGAAGACCCGGGTTCAATTCCCCACATGGGTACAATGTGTGAAGAACATTTCTGGTGTCCCTAGTCGTGATATTGCTGGAATATTGCTAAAAGCGGCGTTAAAATAGTCACTCACTCACTCACTCAACGAGACTGGAGTTCACAGACGGAGCTCCTGTTAAAACAAGCGATTTCCTACAAAGATTAGAACTAAAATGGCTGAGCTAAAAAATGAACATATGATTTCAACTAGATATCAGTAGAAAAGAACTATATAAATTAAAATATTTACACAGTTCACTATTTGTTACGAGGGAGGAGTGCAAAGAGAAGAACAGCACAGGTAAATGACTCCATAACTTTGTCGGCACTTGTGCTCGTGCTTCTCGTACACCTGGCTGTCCCTTTCTCTGCACTCCTGCCTCGTAACAAATAATGAATAGTGTAAATATTTCTATATTGTTGCATGCGTCATAATCGTATCACAAAAATAGTCGAAAACAAGTTTTAAAGAGAAACAGTAATATATTTATTGCTCGTTGGCTTTTCTTTGGCAACAAGACATTTTATAGCTCAAACCACTGCCATGCAGCTTTAAAAACATAAATTCGCGATAGGATTACGAGGTTACTGTCCTCCATTTCCCAACCAGCTCTGAGGTGAATAAATTGGGAGCACATTACAGACGTGTCATAGAAAATAGGGTACATAAATAGGGTCCACTCTTCAGACGCGTTTAAAGATAACGAACCAGAATCTCTGCGTCAACCTTCACAGATGTAAGGGCCAAACATCGCAGCACAAAGCTATTTTACGACGTTTATTCTTGCTGGTTGTCACGAACGAAGACAAGGACAGGTAACTATTTGTGTGTATTGTATATGTATGTAGAGTCAAATTGGCATATAATTTGTTATTTATCTCATGGAATAATGACTGATCACCCGACCTGATAATGTGTGACATTTTAAACAAGCCTCCTAACGTCTGAAACAAGTCTTTCTGTGAAACGTTTTACTGATTATATTTTCATGCTATCAGGGTCAACATGTTTGGACATTTGCTGTGCATTGTAGTTTCAAAACTGGAATGTCTGCTGCCAGCTCCATAAGAAGGTTATGCGCAGTTATGGTGAAATTAGTTCATTTCCAGTTGTCATGTTTTCGCAAACACGTCCGTCATGAATATTTCCTCTTTCTGTTTTAGACATACACAAAATCTGTGACCCCGTAACACGATGTTAACTGAGATTATACTGGGGGTAGCTGTTTTGTTTATAGCCTACATTTATCAGTGGAAACGGAAGTATAGCAAGATGCCTCCAGGTCCAAAACCACTGCTAGTAATGGGCAATTTCTTAGAAATAAAGGAAGCTACAATGGTCAACGATCTCACTCGATTGTGTTCCCAATACGATGGCATATTCACGGTCCATTTCCTAATGACGCCGGCACTCATTCTGGACCGGTTCCACACCATTAGGGACCTCCTTCTTTCTCCTCCATATGCTGACATCTTCAGTGGAAGGGTGAGCAGCTATTTTAGCAAGCATTTGCTGCCGAATGATATGATTTTCCAGACGGCCAGTGACAGACAGCAATACCTGAGAAAACTGACCTTTCGAGGAATAAAACAATATGGAACTGCACTGAAAAATGTTGAACATCTTGCCCAAGCAGAAATACAAGAAATGATCAACAGGTGCAGAGAACGAAATCGGGTCTCTTTTGACCCGTGGGATGATCTGAATCAATATGTCAGCAACATGATCTTGCTTTTGGTAAGTTGTTGACTTCATCTGAAGACTTAATCTATGGTAACCAGGAAACATATTAGTAGTGGTACAACTAACTGACTATCTGCTACAGATATTCACGCTCATAACCGAAGCATTCAACTGGACTAATTATATTTCTTTTCAGGTTTGTGGACAAAGATTTCAGCCTGGCCATCAGACACTGGAGATTTGTCAAAATGTTGCCGCTGATTTTGAGTATCTCTTCCACTATAAGAACCAGATTCTTATGGACAATGTCCCGTTTAGTACGAAGTTAATGCCAAAGTTGAGACGAGCTTGTCAAACCATGAAGAACGGATACAACTATTTTGCTGAGATAATTGACAGAATTTCACAGGTAATTTTCACAAACCGATTCCATTTAATTTCCAATAAATCTCAAGTGAATGACGTCTGAATGAATCTGTGGAGCCAATAGAATTGTATACAGAAATGCATCTAATATTGTAGTATATAAGGGAATCGTATGCAACGCTTTTCATAATTTCAAAATGATGTTCCTTTTTTGTAGGAATCCAAAGATACAATGCCCGATTGTCTCTACACATTGCTATTAAAAGAACGTGAGGAGGGAAGGATATCGAATGAAAATGTAAAAGGAGTTCTGATGGATGCCCTTGTTGGAGGTAATACTGGACAAATATTACTAAAACTGTCTGTGTGCAGATATAACTTTGCACCTTTTCCTGTTATGAAAGGCAGATGATCAATTCCCCTGACATTAATAGTTCACAGGCACCAGGTCCAAACTACTCTTTTTCTGTTACGTGGACAGGTATCTTCACAACAAAACCAACCATGTACAATGCCCTAGCTGCAATGGTAAACTTCCCTGAGGTTCAGAAGAAGATCCAGGAGGAGATCCAGAGGGTGGTTGGAAAGGACCGACTTCCGGGTTTGGAGGACCGGAACAAAATGCCCTATACTAGGGCTGTGGAGTTAGAATCACATCGTTACTACACTCCTGTCAGTTTGCCAGGCCCAAGGAACACTACGCAAAACTGCACTTTTAATGGTTACAGAATCCCAAAGGGCACAATGGTAGGTTTCTGTAATGGTGAAGGGCTACAGTTCGCAAAATACTTTCCTAAATGACAACCACATTTGTCCAAGTACAAGTTACCGTGTAATTATCTAACACAATCTTATAAAATCATTACACCATGCAATGACAAAAGGTTTTATTACTGTCCGTGAGATTGTCCTCCGCCCTGATATTGCTTGAATATTAGGTAGCAAAAGTAATGTAAGTCCCCGTGGTTCCTAGTATGGTGATCTACCTTCAGTTGTTGGCGATCTGTTGCCAGTTTTTATATTGTATTGTCTAAATAGTGCTATCAGTTTTAACTTTCCACACTAGTTTTAGTTGTAATTGTGATATTCTAGTTGTTTTACTGTCCTTCGTCGACAGGTTTTTTGTAATATACATATCTTCCATTTCAATGTCACATATGTTCTCGTCACGATATGGCTGAAATATTGCCGATGTGACGTTAAATATTAACTAACTCACTCACTTGCTTGAATATTGGTTAAAGCGGCGTAAAATTCAACTTACTCACACACTCACTCATATGAAATTGGTAAAGGTAATGAGATTACCCTAGAGTATTGCAGTACAAGTTTATTCTTTGATATTAAGACACATATATTACTAACAAAACTGACTTGAATCTGTCTTCATTAAGGTTATTTACAACGTGTGGCGTGTACACAACGACGAATCATTTTGGGAGAATCCCTTCACGTTTGACCCAACCAGATTCTTGGATGAACATGGCGAACTGCTTCCACCAGAGGATGAGAAGCGTCAGAGGTAAACATGCATGAGACAAGAAAGAACATGATTTCAGTTAAATCATACAGGTGGGGGAATGAAAGCTTAGACAGACTGGCCTTGCCAAACATTTGCCAAACTGATGAAAAGGCTGATTTTCAAGCAAAGATCGTTAAAACCAAAATCATATACGGAGATGTATTAAAATGAACGTACATGATTTTAAGTGTTTCATTGCAGATTGCTGACGTTTGGTATCGGAAAGCGTTCTTGTATTGGTGAGAAGCTGTCCCGAGTCAGGATATTTCTTGGACTGACGTCCATCCTGCAAAACTTCGACCTGACTCGTGATACATCTGAGCCTTTCCCTTCATCCGACCCCCGCACATATGAGAGTAAATTTCTCTTACAACCACCTCCATACAAGCTGCAGTTCAAACCGAGACTCTGAAAGTTGCAATGTCCGACACACATTTGAGATTTGTCCTAAGTGGTAGACAAGTGTTCTGTCGTGTAGTCTTCCATTGTCCTAGATGATTAAGCAGCGTAGCTGTATACCTGTATCAAAATACAAAGCGCGAATTGTAACACATTTTAACCTAAACCTGTAATCGTTGATATTGATAAGATAATAACAATAACAGTCCACTTTTATAGCGCTATTCCATTATGTGGTATTATTATTAACCCGGATAGCTGATGTGAGCAGCTTGAAGGTTAGTAGTCACATGGCTTATCCCACCGGGTATTCATTTTCTGCTAGGCGAACAGAGGCATGTTTGAACAAACTCACATGCAATTCCTTGTGGGGCAGGACTGACGACCTAGAAACTCTCAGGAGTCAAGCTGCCAAACACGGTCACCCATCCTAAGACTCTTCGCGCTCAACGTTGTTCAACTTCAACTGATTTGTAACTATGGACAGGAATCTAGTAAATCACAGCTCTACTGTAAGCAGAGTGAGTGAGTGTGTGAGAGTATGGTTTTAAAGCCTTTTTAAGCAATATTCCAGCAATATCACGGCGGGGGACACCGGAAAAGGGTTTCACACATTGTACTCCTGTAGGGACCTTTCGCGTGACTAGCGAACTCTTAGAGCCCTAGGCTACCCCACCGCCGCCTAAGGTAAGCAGAATCGACAGAAATAATGGTGCCCAAGAGATTAGTCGACCTTACTTGAAAGTGTTAAAATCAGAACTGACACATCACGAGTGTGACGGTACAATCATGACATGTGCAAACTATCAGATGTTTTTTCATGTTAACTTTCACTAACTGGAACACGTATTATTGTCCTAATATTCGACATTAACATGCATTATTCATGAATCCCTTACTAATTTTGGAAGAGCATATATTCTACTGAAGTAACATGTTTTCAAGACATGTTATTCATTTCATTTTGTTTTAAAATGCTTTGAAAATACTATACGGACACATATTATTCACAGATATACATACACAGATAACATATTAGTTAACCGAACCTTCAAGAGACAGTCATGCTGTAGAATCAATTTGACCTGATGAATTCAAAACAGGTTGTCAAAATGTGCATTTGTCACATTGTCAAATTGTATAATATCTTGCAGTTGTATAATATAATTGTATGTCATTGAGAGAGAAAAGAAAAGAAATCAACTAAAATTTACCATAAAAAAAACCAATGAAGAATACAGAGCGACAAGATCCTTCCCACCGCTATAAGAAATTTCTGTCCACTGCACGAATCAGACAATATCAAAATCATCTGTTAATGAATCACTGTTATATAAAATTATAATATTAGATTAACCAAGAAATCTATATGCAAAGAATTCACTGACAAATAATAATGATTTTACAATGACCTTACACAATTGATTGACAGAGCAAAATTCAGTGACAGTACACTTTCAATCCAGTGGTAAACATGTTTAATGTGGTAGTAGCGGCAATAACAAGCCAGTGATGATAACATTCACTTAGCTCCAACTATGGTCAAGCTTTTTAAATAAGCCTATGTTGGATACCCAGGATATGTTTGGTTGGTATTGTAGACCTTGGAGAGTAACAAGAAAGGCAGAATACCTTATTGGATAAGGACGTTGTGTGGCGTAAAATAACAAACAAACAAAATGTTTCAGTCATCACAAACACTTGAAAGTTTATGTCAAGTGTTCACTTGGAAAAGGGCCAGATATGGTGCACGTCAAACAAGCAACTGGAATCATGTTGGTCAAAAACACCCCAATTACGGAAATACCTTCCACATGTCTACCATGGAAAGTTTTGAAAGCATTACTAGAGGTCTAATGTTGTAACATTGATTAAAACACTTTCGCGAGATTCATATGGCGCTGAAATCTGCGGGGAGAGAGCTTGTTTGATTGTATACCCGTTAAGATTCGGGTTAGAATTGATCTTCAGCAACCCATGCTTGTCGTAAGAGGCGACTAACGGGATCGGGTGATCAGGCTGGCTGACTTGGTTGACACATGTCATCGTTTCCCAATTTCGTAGATCGATGATCACTGGATTGTCTGGACCAGACTCGATTATTTACAGACCGCCGCTATATAGATATAACTGGAATAACAAGGCTGTATATTAAGTCCAGTCTTTTTTCCCCTTTTGTATCAACGAATTGTCAAATGATATTATTTTGAATGGAACATATGGTGACCAATTATTTCCTGATTTGCTTGAAATATTATTACTGTTGTTTGCTGATGATGTCATTTTAGTATCTAATGCTATTTCAAAATTTACAGAGACCACTTAATATTTTAGAACATTTTGCTGACACTTTGGGATTGAGTGTCAACCTTGATAAAACTAAGGTTGTTGTGTTTAGAAGGGGCGGGCATTTGGCAAAATGTGAAAAAATGTTGTTGTTTTTAAAATGAAATGATTACAACTGTTAATATAGTTATACAGATATCTTGGTATTATTTTATCTTCTACCTCTAAAATGACTCTATGTACATCTGATCTAGATCTCCGAGGTAAACGTGCACTGATGGAAATTCTCCATAACTTGAATAAATTATATACTGTTGATCCTTCAGTGTTTTTAAAAATTTTGATTCACAGGTACAATCTTATTATACGGCTCAGAGGTGTGGGGACTTAACAGGTTTGAGAAAATCGAAAATGTACATATTATCGCATGTAAACATGTTCTAAATGTTGGTCGACAAACGCTAAATGCAATAACTTACGGCGAATGCGGCCGATATACATTACATATCAATGCCTTATGCTGGGCTGTTACATATTGGTTAACGTTGATTGAAATGCCAAATAATAGAATACCTAAGAAAGCATCTGGCATGTTGGTTTATTAAGATAACTATTTATACTCAAATACTTCATCAACATAGTACGTAGTTGTTTACTCATGTATTTGGTTTTGTATGTGGATTAGTCAATCTTCGAAGCTTTAAAGATGTTGCTATAAATACGTTTTGTCAATCTTGGAATAGTTTTACAAAATAGAACAAAATATAGATTATATAAGGAGTACAAAAGTCTTCTATCTCTAGAAAAATACTTAACTGTCATCACTGTAAAGAAATATTGTAATTTGTATACAAGATTAAGATCTGGTTTATCAAGGCTAAAAGTAAATGCTGGCAGATGGTCGAATGTTGATTATTTACTAAGAATATGTCCACTTTGTGAACTTGACGTGGAAAATAAATATAATTCTCTATTTGTGTGTGAACATTATAATGGCTTAAGAAAATTATTTTTTCCATTGTATTTGTGTAATGATGAAATATCTTCAAGTTCAAATGCCTCGTGATGATGGACAATGATACACTAATGCTCAAAATATGTAAATATATGTTTCATAGCCTTAAAAGAAAACAAACATCATTGTGTAAACCAAAGCTCGATGCTATTGTTTTAGTTCTAGATGTAAACATGTTGTGCATGTAGTATTTGGAATGAGTATTATGCGTGAGTTCTTCATGACTTTCCTTGGAAAACGGAACACAGAGTCACGAGGTGCAGGATGAGTTATGCATGCAGTATTAGGATTGTGGATACCGCATGGAATCCTTCATGACTTACCTTTGAAAACTAAACACACAGTCACTGGGTGCAAGATGCGTTTTGCATGCAGTATTAGGATTGTGGATACCGCATGGAATCCTTCATGACTTACCTTTGAAAACTAAACACACAGTCACTGGGTGCAAGATGCGTTATGCATGCAGTATTAGGATTGTGGATACCGCATGGATTCCTTCATGACTTACCTTTGAAAACTAAACACACAGTCACTGGGTGCAAGATGCGTTTTGCATGCAGTATTAGGATTGTGGATACCGCATGGAATCCTTCATGACTTACCTTTGAAAACTAAACACACAGTCACTGGGTAGTAGATGCCACTCTGATGTCAAAAACCAAGACATTCAAATACATTTTTCAGAATGTGGGGAATCGAACAAAGCATCCTGACACGGCGTCTGGACGCTACTATTGACAAACAAATAGTGTTACTCTGCTGGATTAGATCCACGTTTGACTGTTGCTAAATTGGGTCAGATTGCCGGGTTCAGTGCATGTACGACATGAAACCCCGACGGCTGAAAATGTCCTGTAATAGGGTGAATAAGGGTCACTGTGCTGGATGTACTCTACGGTGAGTGTAGGTCGACAGGCCACCAGGCGAGACAGTGCAGTGAATGCAGTCATCTGTGTTGGCAAATATACGCTTGGGAATTGCATATGGAAGCCTTGACTTACTCAGAGGCGAAGGTGGCCATATCTGAAACAAACTAATAACAACTGAGAGTTGACATAAATTCACTATCTTTTTTCTGTGGGTTTGTATACCGCAGTCATTGTTAAATAATGAGCATCTTTTTAAAAGAGATAAGATTGCAATTCCTTTGTGTATACATTTGGATTATATTTTCAGTGCCAAGCATATGTATGTGTGTGTGTCTGGTCTTTGCAGTTGTAACGGATTTACATTATTAAACATTAAGTCTCAAATGATTTTTGCCCGTGTGAGTTGGCATCGTTTGAAAGACGTGATTGGTTTTATACAAACTGGCAGTTTGAGGATTGTGTCATGCTTTTATCACCAGTATGCCTTCAGTGATTCACTGATTGTATATATCATTTGAACATGGGACTCTCAACGAGACTGGGCGGTGGGTTAGCAGAGTGGTTAATGCGTTCGCTCGTCAAGCCGAAGACCCGGGTTCAATTCCCCACATGGGTACAATGTGTGAAGCCCATTTCTAGCCTCCCTAGCTGTGATATTGCTGGAATATATTGCTAAAAGCGGCGTTAAAACAAAGTCACTCACTCACTCAACGAGACTGGAGTTCACAGACGGAGCTCCTGTTAAAACAACCGATTTCCTACAAAGATTAGAACTAAACTGGCAGAGCTAAAAAGTGAACATATCATTTAAACTAGATATCAGTAGACAAGAACTATAGT